TCAAAGTGACATTTTCGAAAAAGTAAATCAGCAGAAATACTCAGAATTCGATGCTGATTCCAAATATGTAAGTTTTATTGTGATTTGGTTTGGTCGGGATGATCGGCTTATCGGCCCTCCTCCTTTTAAGGTTTTCTATAGCAAAAGGAAATTTTCAGGCAGGCGGTGTTTTGCAATAATGAAAATCATCTAAAGTATATACTCTTCTACCGGTCATTCTTGTCTTGATCTAGCTACAAAAGCATTTTAATTCCAGTGCTTGTTATTAAAATGACTCAATCTCTGAAAAAAGGGACATATTTTTTAGAGTTTAAAGCTGTGTACCTTTTGGTATAATAAAAAATAATTTGTCTTATTCATACTTTTGAGAAGAGCTTCAACAAAAGTACCATCATATTGATTCGATGTATCTCCTCTAAAAGTTTCAGCTTTTACAAACAGATACATGTATGTAAGAACTTGTCTACTACTCTAAAAAACAAGGTACCGTACGGAACTTAAAAAGGGTTCCAAGAATTGAAACTATTTCTAAAGCTTTTAGGTTCTGTGCCTGGCAATAAAAACAACCGAAAAAATACACAAGTAACAGCAAAGAAAAGCCACTTCCCTAGTGAAAGTACTCATACTAAGAGTACGCCTTTACTCATAATTCGTCCATGAGTACTCATATGAGTTCTACTAACAACTTTTGAGTATTTTTACTCAGTGAATACTCAGTTACTATGTGAGTACTCAGAAAATATTCATTCATCATTTTGTTTTGCAAAAATGAAACTGTATAAAAGAACGTAGAATTTATACCTCATTAAGGTGTATAAACCTTAATGAGGTTTCGCAGATGCGTACCATACCTGATTGGTATGGGAAAGTTCCGCAGAGCCTCACGAGTTTCATACTGCGGAACTTTCCCATACCAATCGCAGTACTAGACACATGGACAAATTCTCTATTATTTATAGCAGAACTCTACTTGTAGGTCAATAATAAAAAATTGCGTATGGAATGTGTTTGTATATAACGGCGAGTATGGGTGAAAATAACTGGTTCTATGAGTGAAAAGTTAGTTAGGAAAAGTTAGTTGAGAGAAGTAGTTAGAATTTATGTAGCTTAATACCAAAAAGTAAAGTAATGTTACACGTAAGGGGTGATATCTTTGTTTTAAATTAAAAATTTTTTTTATTTTTTCATGTGTGCTCTTTCTTTGTAAAATATTGGAAAGAAGGACTGCTTTTCTTTCTAATCTATTTCGTTAAAAATTTTAGAAAACTTTTTCTATTGCAAAAAGATATTCTAAAAGTTTTCGCTACAAAGTAATGAAAGTCGGACATTATGAAGAATTTGCGTTTGCCGCCGCAAACTCGAAATTCGCGCACTTCTGTATTGATTGGAAAAGCGATTTAATGCGCTTTAGTATAATCATTGTATTCATACAGATCCTTAGCTCTTCGTTTCCTGTTACTGTTCTGCCTGACATATGGTACCTCGAAGCTGGAACCGGGCCGGTAGAGGCCAGTATTTCACCGGTTGAAACTTTAAAACATCTGCTCTTTTTACGGTGTTTTCCGTCAAAAAACCGAAATTTCACGTCTTTTTCCGTCAGAATAAATAAGGGGTAGCTCTATTGCCACTACCGGTGGTGTCAACTAGAAGCTATTGCTACCACCGGTGGTGTCAACTAGAAGCTATTGCTACCACCGGTGGTGTCAACTAGAAGCTATTGCTACCACCAGGAGGTGTCAATTACAGCTATTGCCACCACCAGGAGGTGTCAATTAGGAGCTATTGCTACCACCGGTGGTATCAACTAGAAGCTATTGCCACCACCAGGAGGTGTCAATCAGGAGCTATTGCCACCACCGGTGGTGTCAATTACAGCTATTGCCACCACCAGGAAGTGTCAATTTCTTCCAGTATTTCGATTTTCCAGCAATTCCGAAAAAGTCAATTTCTAAACGTTTTGTTTATGGTTGGCGACTTGATGAGAACGGTAAACCACAGCATAAACGGTTCGACAGATAGCAAGGCAGATTAATGTGTGTTTATCACAGAACAAACAAAGAACTTAAACTGATATAAAAAAGAACATGAAAGTCATTAAACATGGCCCCAGAAGTTGTAAACAGATAACCTTCACGATTACGTACCCCTCAGGCGTAGACAGCCCCATTCTTAAAAATTAACTTGATCAATAGCCGTAGTTGACACCACCTACTCTTTGATTTTACTTGGCTGTAGCAATAGACGTAGTTGACACCACCGATGGTGGCAATAGCCATTCCGATAAATAAGATGATGCTCAAAACAGATATTATTTTCATCACTTGTTTTAAGGTTAAATGCTATAGGCTCGTTATTGTGAAGGTTCCCTCGCATGCTCGCAAACTATTTTATTTCTGGGGGAAATTCTTTCTAAAAATCGATTTTCAAAAAACTTCAGTAGTTTTTCGATTTTCCCTCTATTTCTTCACAACTCTCAGGGTGAGACTCTGGTACAAAAGAAATAAAAAAGTAACTGATTATAACTTGAAAGCTAAAACAAAAATAAAAATGATAACACAAGTTACAGTAATTATGATGGTCGATGCCCATGCACAGATAAATAAATCGTTGAAACGATGGAAAGATTGATATGGTTTTGGTATACATTCCAAATGTCTTCGATAAGCTAGTTTTTCCGCCTGGCTTGAAATCGTTCCCAATCGAAAGAGAAACGGTGACCATGGACTCGCACAATAAATTTTGAACCATTTAAAAGGATGACGAAAAAAGAGTTTGACAACATTTGGTCGAACACCCATTTCATCTCCGAGAACATCGGCAAACTCGAAGAGATTAACTAATTGTTTCATTCGAATATGATCATGCGGATAAAGGCGCTGATGTCGCTTCCAATACGCATGTATAGAACGGAGCATTTTTGCTTGAGTGGGAAGTGTTACTTTGCCTTTAAAAACATATGAAACCCATCTAGCCTGAAGCTCAGCTAAAGCGGGAATAGAACCGAAGACAGGTCTCGCCGTACCAACAAAAGCAATTTTCTTCAATCCTACCGGAAATACAAGTTTATATAATCGTTCAACGGTTATCTCCTTCTCTAATTCAGCCGAAAAAAATGGAAAATTCCAACGATAGCCGGTGCAATACAAAATATGATCGATCCGCACCGAATTAGAATTAAGATTGCTCTCTTCATCATTACGGTCATGGTTTGGAACGGGCTCAAACGTCACTAGATTCTCCTCGATTTTTAGAATAGCTCGTTTAGGTATCACAAGTCCCATAGCTACTTTATGAACAACTTCTCGGCTTTTATTAATGAATCCATGCAGGAAGTTACTTGTCGGTTGCCATTCTGGAATTCCCGTTCCTCCTTGTCCCCACATCGTTACAACAAAACATCGCTTATAAATTTTGACATTAATGTTATCGTAGTAGCTCCATATTCTCATTAACATTGTGTACATAATATCAGCTGGCTGATTCCCCAATATTCTGTCCTGGAACCATTGTCCGTTTCTGATACTCATATAAACTTTCTTAGCTACTGGACTCAGCTCAACGGCTAAATCACTTGCTGTCTCACCGCCACCAACAATGAGAATATTCTTGTTATAATATTCGGGTAATGGATATTTATAGTCGAAACTATGTGAAAAAGTCCCCGTAAAATTTTTAAATATTTCATCATTCGGAATGGAAGGTGTCTGATGTTGTCCAGAACAAATAACGACACCATCACAAATTTGTTCAAACTCTTCTCTCTCATTATTTTTTAGTCTTACTATCCATTTTTGTGATGTTTGATTTTGGTGACTAATATTGACAACATTATGTTCTAAATAAATATGTGGCCATAACAGAAAATGTTCACAATAACTTTTTAAATAGTTTAGATTTTCTTCGTGTGACGGAAATTCACATGTTTTCTCTGGCATGGGAAAGTCAGAGGCATGCATAAATGTCTTTGATGATGTCGCATGAGTTGAACGATAGACCCCACCCGACTTATCCTTGTAGTGCCAAATGCCAGCGATAAATGGTTCACGTTCGTAGAGCACAGCATGGAGACCGTCTTCTAATAAATATTTAAGTGCGTATAAACCTGACCATCCGCCACCAACAACAACAAATAAATCCGTCCCACTACTTCCTACCATGTGTCTGTCTAAAAAAATAAATGACTTATTAGTCATATACTAAACAAGATAAAAATAGCTTTCTTAGCTTGCACTAAAAAATTTACTAGTAAATGAGGCCATAGTATAGAAATTAACCTTTTGCTACCCGAAAAACATTTCCGTAAGAATAAAATACTACACACTATATACTTCTGTCTTTCGAGAGACCATAGCCGTTATTATATAGAATAAAGTTAACGATTGTCACATATAATATTTAAGAATTTGTACTCGTGCTCTTATCTATTTCCTCTTGTTTATGTCATAACTATCAATCAGTTACGTTTAATTAAAGATAACTAGCTTCCATTCCAGGTAACTAGCTTCCAGTAATATTAAAGTTGAAGTTCAGATAGAGTAACTTTTCTATCGTACACAAAATAATGAGTCATTATTTAAACATTTGTTTTATTTCATAATGATCTACACTATTTTATTACTAATAACAACCAAAAACAGAATAAAAAAGTTTTTTCTTTCAGATTTTTTTATTTCTTCTTTTATGTAATTTTTGTAGTTGTTGTCAACAGTAGGAGAAATATAGAGCGTGCACACGTCACACAAACGGAAAGTTGAATAATAGAAAGAAAACATCCATATTGATACGCAAATGGCCATAGATGTTCGAGAATCTAAAATTTATTCCGACAGTTGTTGTTTTTGTTTGTTACGTTTGACTTTCTGATCGTTTGGCTTTCCGTTTGTGCTTATTTTGTTTCGTTCGACAATAAAAAAATTTAAATCAATAGCTAAATGACTACTTTCTTCTAAATTGCGAGAGTCAAAAGCAAGAAGATTAGAAAATCAGAAGGCTTTGATGTTCATTAAAAAAAATTTAAATCTGGGAACTTTGTCCAAAACTCGAATAAAGTAGTAAAAGCATTATTACCAACACAGCAGATTATAATAACGTTGTAAACTAAAATTTTTGTGTAAATAAACGTCTCGAAAGACAAAAAAATTAACATTTCATTTCCTATATTTTTCTTGTTTCTTTGTGTGTACACATTTGCGCAAAGACACTGCATGGTGACGAAAAGAGAAATGAAAAATAAACCTGTTTTGTAGTTGTCAACGAAAAATTGTTTCTTTTTAATTTCAATAGTGATTCTTCAAAAAAGAAAACAAAAAAATATTGTGTTTATTTCTTTACTGCCTTTACCTCCGGCAGGTGATTATGCAAAGCGAATTTGAAATTAGCTATATCTCGATTTAGACTGGATGAAAAAAACTCTCTTATTAGCAATCACTAGATTATGGTGTCAGCTTACGCTAGAAAAAATTCGTTTTTTGATGCGACGCATGGTTATCTTGTTATAGCGATTCTACGATATCTACTAATCCCCACGACTGTAGACATCCGGAGATAAAGGATCAGCAGAGTAGGCAATGGGGGTATTAGATTTAAAGAAAAATATTTTTAGAAAATAGACAATCGTAACCCTAGTCGACTCTCCCCCTGAAAGTCCCCGGGGACTCCCCGAAAAATGCATAATCCCCGGGGACTCCCCAGGGAGTCCCCCTCCAAGTCCCTGGGGAGTCCCTAAAAATGTGTACTCCCCGGGGA